GAATCATACGCGCTGGACTTAGGAAATCTCATGGCTTCATACCCACATCACAGCTTTGCTTCTCCGCCTATTTCCAGGTTTCACTTTCTTAAAAAGTTTCCTACTTTTAACATGTACTGTTATTTTCTGTGATTTTTTTTTCTGTTGAAAGCTTGAATCTTTGAAAGATTTTAGAGCATTTTATTCCACCCTTTTGACCATATTTGCTTAATTTATGTTGTTATTTTGATTTATGCGTTGATAAAGTTAAATTTTCGAAGTAAAGGGGTAGACCTAAAATCACGTAAACTCGCGCAGATTTAGCTAAGAATTTAACATGTACTGTATTCTCTGTGCTTTTTTATACTGGAATTTGGTATCTTTGATAGGATTTAGAGCTTTTTATGCCTCCCTTTTGGACAATTTTTTATTTGTGGAGTGATATAGTGAATTTGGAGTAAAGGGATAGGTCTAAAAAAGGGCAGCATGGTGCACTAAGCTCTCGCTAAGAGGTTTCGGAGAAGGGCCGGACCATAAAGGTCTATAGTACGTGGTCTTTCCCTCTATTTCTTAAAGGGATAGATGTAAAATCACATGAAATTGTCAATAGTACCCTTCTTTAACATGTACCGTATTCTCTGTGCTTGTTTATACCGAGCTTGAACCTTGGTTAGGTTTTAGAGCATTTTATTACACCATTTTGGATATCAGCAGAGTAGGTATATAGAGGTTTTTGATGGTCAACCCCAGCTGATTTTGGATTGAAGCATAGTTAATTGATTGATACGTCACCTTTGTTAGTTACTTTTTCTGGTTCAGCTTCCTTTCGAGTTTCCTTCCTGGGATGCGGTCCTTAATAATTCACTGTTGACATATCCTAATATCTCAGGGTCCCAGGGACTCAATTTGAAGGGAACAAGGGGCAAATATTTACCAATTTCCAAATGTTCGATATTAAAGGCGGTTCAAGCCAATTCTTTTGCAACTGTCTCAATATCATAATTGACACTCGCTATGCGAGACGTCTAGTAATCTTGCTTCAAATTGAATTGAAACGAAAAGTTGTAGTCTTGCAAGTTCTATATTTTATAGCAACCCTTTAGCTTATACTTATGTATTTAAGATGGTTTCAAGAAGTATTTGCTTTATGCCTTTTGGCACCTAATTATTGAACAAGCCATGTTTCTATTATTGTTGATCTCTC